GGCCGGGGCCCCGGGTGCTCCGCCGCCGCCCGTCCCAGACCCCGCTAGCCGGCTCCTGAGACCTGAGACCGGAGACCCCGGGCGCTGCGCTCGCGCCATGCCGAGCCCCGCGCTACTCGGCGCGCTCTGCTGCGCCGTCCTGGCCGCGGCCGTGCGCGCCGGCTACTCGGGTGATCGCTGCAGCTGGAGGGGCAGGTAGGGCCCGCGAGGAAGCCGGTGCGGCTCCTCCGGACTGGGGCTCCCTTTAAGGAGGGACAGGGGTGGCGCCCACTCTTGGAGATGGGGTGCTCTCGGACCGGAGCCGAGTCGCGGTCCCTCCCCGGGCTTCCAGGCGAACGCTGGGCCTCAGTTTTCTCCGCGGCAGAGTGGGCGCGGCTGTTGATGGTTGCGGATAGTGCGGTGGGCTGCTGGGCCGGGCAGGCACACAGGGCGCCCGGCTCAGCGCCGCCGGTCCTGCCCCACAGCGGCCTGACCCAGGAGCCCGGCAGCGTGGGACAGCTGGCCCTGCCCTGTGCGGAAGGCACCGTGGAGTGGTTGTACCCGGCCGGGGCTCTGCGCCTGACCCTGGGCCGCTCCGACCCCGGGACGCAGCCCAGTGTCGCATGCCTGCGCCCGGCGCGACACTTTGCAGGGGCACAGGTCTTTGCGGAGCGGGCCGGCGGCGCCCTGGAGCTGCTGCTGGCCGAGGGTCCAGGCCTGGCTGGGGGTCGTTGTGTGCACTGGGGTCCCGGCGAGCACCGGGCCCTCTTCCTGCAGGCCACATTGCACCCAGACATCAGCCGCCGGGTAGCCGCCTTCCGCTTTGAGCTGCGCCAGGATGGAAGGCCCGAGTTGCTACCCCAGGCCCATGGTCTGGGTGTGGATGGTGAGTGACCATCCTGGTGGGCATGGAACCCATTGTACAGATGGAGAAATTGAGGCTTCCAGGGTTAAGTGCTCATCAGAGACCACAGCGAGCTAGTGAGACCCGGGGAAGGGAGGGGGGCTGGACCTGGGGTGCCCCTGAGTCTGATCCACCTGAGAGAACCAGCTGGTGGCAGGGGGCACAATGGCCACTCAGAGCGACCTCCCAGCCCTGGTCCCTGAAGGGTTGGAGTGGGTGGGAGAGGAGATGTAAGGACAGAAGAAATGCATGTGGCTAGAGCTGCCCAGGGCTCCTGGCCCAGCCGTGACCTCCCGCCCCTCCCCCAGCCAACCAACAAAAGTCCAGTGTGCTGCCCTGTTGCCATAGAGACGCTGCCCACACACCCCCCCCCAAGCAGGGCACCAGGCCCAGCTCTTTGCTCTTCTGGAACTTGCAGCCGGACCTCACAGGGGACGGGGGTCCCTGTTCTGTTCTCTGACCCCAGGCCAGGCTCCAGAGCCTGCTATAAGCCCTGCTCCCTGAGCCTGGTTGGTTCTGGCGGTCAGAGGGGACTTCCAGGCACTGGGGCTGTCAACACACGGTGTGTCCTCCTGCCCCCCTGAGCTGGGCATAGCCTCAAGCCTGGTCCTTTGTGCATGTGGCTGCACCCCAGTGTAGCTGTGGTTTCAGGGTGCATGCATGCTTGTGCTGCGGGGCTCCCTCCCATGCCCTGGCGTCCCCAGCTGCCTTCCAGGCCTGAGAGAGGAGTCTGGAGGCTTGGCTTTCCCCCTCCTGCCAGGGAGGGTCCTGGGGGGGGTCCCGGGAGATGGGCTGGCCTTACAGCCCCACGTTCCCAGGTGCCTGCAGGCCCTGCAGTGATGCCGAGCTCCTCCGGGCCACCTGCACTAGTGACTTTGGTAAGTGTCCTGCCATGGGGGGCGCTGCTGGGGCCTGCCTTCCTTGCACCCTTCCCTGCATGCCTGCCACTGGTCACGTGTCTTCTGCAGTGATGCGTGGGACCATCCGTGGGGTCACCCATGACACGGAGCTGCAAGAGTCTGTCATCCACGTGACGGCTGCCCATGTCATCCGCCACACGCTGCCACTGCTCAGGGCGGTGGGCACAGGGGGCCAGGTGCAGGCCTCCATCCGCACCCCGCTGCACTGTGGGGTGCGCCCAGGCCCTGGCACCTTCCTCTTCATGGGATGGAGCCGCTTTGGCGAGGCCTGGCTAGGCTGTGCCCCCCGCGTCCAGGAGTTTGGCCGAGTCTACGAGGCCGCACGCGCTGCCCGCGTGCTTCTCTGCGAGGTGGCACTGGACTGAGGGGGACTGGGAGTGACCGCCACTCGGGGTCCCTCCCCTGGGATTGGGAGCTGGGGTAGGGCTGGAGGGAGGGTGGGGGGGAGGGTGGCCTCCAGATGCTGCCACGATAGTAAGGCCATAGTGCTGATCAGCGAGAACATCAATAGCGCCAGCCACCCTGCGTCTGTGTGTGTCTGTGGGCCTGAGCCAGCCCTTGGCTCACCTCGCCTCCTGTCATCCCCTCAGCCCTGGACAGCACTGTGCCCACTTCACAGAGGGGGAGACTGAGGCTGGGGCCTCACCCATGCTTGGATGGGGTGGGGTATGCAGGGACCCCACTCATCTGCTGCCTCCTAACTCCATGGCGCTTCCATGGCTCAGAACAGGACTGGGAAAAGGGCCGGACTCCCAGGGCCCCTCAGAGAATGGGGGGCAGGAGACACCAGTCCTGGCCCAGAGCCCGGGCGGCCGGGGATGCGCTGTCATCGGCAGGGCCAGCCCTCCTCCCTCACAGAGGCAGAGTCATCCTTGGCCGTCCCGCCCTTGGGAAGAATGGGCCCCTCTGTCCGGAGGTCTCCTGGGACGTGCCAGGCATCCTGACTGCAGCAGGGCTGCGGGGTCTCCTGCAGGATTCGCTCTGCCGCTTCCGGCCGTCGGCTGCACTGGTGTCTCTCGGCCATTTCCCGCCACTTGCCCATTGTGGCGCCCCCCTGCCTCCGCGCCCGTCTGGCACAAAGGGCAGCGTGGGACAGGGACTCCTGCTCACAAAGGCCGAAGGGCGGGGCCAGGCCACGGCTGCCAGGAAGTTGGGCCCTTCAGCGTTGAGGCAGGGCACTGAGGCTGGGAGAGGGTCAGTGCTGTGCAGGTCCCCCACGAGGCCCCCTCCTCGGGTCAACAGACACGCCCCCAGTACCCGCTGTGTGGGCGGCTGTCTGGAAGCTGCTGCTTCAGGAGAGCCCTTTACCTCCGGGCGGATGAGGCTCCTGGTGGGGGCGGGGCCCCCCTGACGACCCACTGCCCCCGCCATGACCTCTTCCCGCGGGAGCCCTTCTGCTTTCCTGCATCTCCCCACACACCGGGCCCTGGACTTCCCCTTTTCATCCCCATTTCCTCCCTGGGAGCTGGTCCCGCCTCATAGTTTAAATACCACCAACACAAGGAGGGCCCCGTGCCCACCCAGAGCTGTCCCCTGGACTCAAGACTGGACCCCACTGTCTGCCTCCCCGCTCCCCCGCAAGGATCAGGGCAGTGCTGCTGCTGCCTCCTCTGCCTCCAGGAATCTTTCCCAAGTCCTGGCAGTGGGATTCCTCCAGGGCCAGAAGCAGCCGCCCTCATTCTCCGGCCAGCTCTCTATAGCCAGCCCCGGAACTGTGTGGAAGGAGGCACCTGACCATACCCAGTGCCCATGTGTGCCCGGTGTGTGGACTGCCTTCTGCTCTGGTCCACCTGTACACACACACTACCCCACCCCCGCTGCTCTGGTCCACCTGTGTACACACACACACACACACACACAAACCCCACTGCTCTGGTCCACCTGTGTACACACACACACACACACACACACACACACTACCCCGCCCCCGCTGCTCAGGTCCACCTGTACACACACACACACTACCCCACTGCTCTGGTCCACCTGTGTACACACACACACACACACACACACACTACCCCACTCCCGCTGCTCTGGGCCTCTACCCGCCTGCCCCAGGAAGTGCTTAACCCTCCCACTCACACCTCCCCCTCAAGAGTGACCCCTTTACAATAAGGCCTTTTCTCAAAGGCAGTGGAGAGGCGGGTAGGGCTCACTGGGCCAGGAGCTACACTTTGATAAGAGTCCAGAGGCTGGGAGCTCCTTGGAGGGTCGGGACAGGGGCTTCACTGGCCCTGGGAAGAAGGGGCATGGGGAGTCCTGGGGGGTGTGAGGCTGCAGCTGTGGGAGCAGCTGCAGCACCCGTGTAGCCCCCAGGCCTTCTCTCTAGCCGCATGCAAGCCAAACGCACTGGTGTGTGAGTCCCTGTGGGCGCTCAGAGCACTGCGTGTGGACACAAGACAGATGTGGGGTGCTCTCATCCATCCAGTAAGGGTTTATTGAACGCCAGGCCCTGCTCTGGGCACTGGGAATAATGCAAGGGCAGGGACAACAGTGGGGTGCTGTGGAAGCCTCCTCCAGGCCCGGGCCATAGACCCCTCTCCTGGGCCGGTTCCAGCCCCTCAGTAGCCTCCCTGCTCTGCCGGGTGGGGCGGGACTTCCTTATTCCCCTACTTGGGTCTTGAGAGCAGTGGGGTGTATTGCAGGACACGGCTGGAGGGAATGCCAGGCTTGAAGGGGGACCAGTATTCTGAGGCCTGACCACGTGGCCTGGGTAGCAGCCTGTCCCAGCCAAGCTCGGACACTCATGAGGCTTTGGTGTCAAGGTGAGGTGGTCCTGGCTCCACTGCCTGACCTAGGCTTTGTGGTCCCACTTGGCTTCCCCAACCCCAGGCTTTGGGAAGTCCCGTCCAGGAACGCCTGTCTTCTTGGATGTGCCTGGGCCTCCAACTCTGGAGGCCCGGGCCCCTCACATCCGCTCCCCCAGCCCCAACACTCAATGGCCTGCCGCCATCTGTCTTCGCCCACCCTCCTCTCCACCGGAACCGCCCCCTCTCTCTCCCGGCCCAGCCCTCCTCCAACTTCCGCCCACTCAGCTAATTGCCTCCAGCTGTAGGAGGGACCGGAAGCGTGTCCTTTCTGGCTTGCTCCTTGGCTTGGCTGGCTTCCGGGGTGTCGCGGTAAGAGGAGCCCCCTACCTGTCTCAGGTGGAGCCGCACTAGGAGGCTGTCACCCAGAGCCCGCAATCCCCCGGCGAGCCTCTCCCACCCGTGCTCCAGCCCACACACTAGCTTCGCTCCTGGGATGCGACGACGCCAGTCTCGACTGAACTGTCTTCTCCAAGCGAGCGTGGTCTCCCCTCCCCTTCAGGCTGTCAAATTGCAGCCCCACATCTCCCCACGACGGCAGGTGCGCTCCAAGGGGTCCCCTGCTTCCAGGGCAGGTCCCAAATAACTGTTGGCAGAACGCACCAACGAGCGACCGGACCAACGCGGTCTTCGCAGTAAGACACGGCGAGGCCAGGCCGTGCGAGGGTCGCCGCTCATTCGGGCTGCAGACAGCCCTCGCGACCAGGAACTCTCGAGAAGGGTTCTAGAACCCGGCGGAGTGGAGCCAGTGACGGACCCGCCGCCAGGCCGCGGCTTAGCCACTTCCGGTATCACTTGCGCCGGCCTCGCCTCTCACTTCCGGCGTCTCCGCCGAGGCCTCGGGGGAGGTGCGGGTCGCGGGGTGCCGGGAAGGGCGGCCTTCTCCAGCTTTGTAATGGCGTGAGGAGCTGGGGTCTGAGCCGACCCTGAACCGCATTTCCCGCAGCCATGGAGCAGGACGACCCGGCCGAGGCATTGACGGAGCTCCGTGAGCGGCGACTGGGCGCCCTGGAGCTGCTGCAAGTGGCAGCAGGCTCAAGCGTGGCTGCCTACGCTGTGTGGGCTCTGCTGCTGCAGCCGGGCTTCCGCCGCGTGCCGCTGCGGCTGCAGGTGGGGGCGGGGCCGAGCCTGGGGGCGGACCTTCGAGGGAGGGCCAGCCCCTGCGGGTGGGGCGGGGCGGGGCCTGCAAAGCAGCAGCTGGGACGGAGGGAGAGGCAGGTGGCCTCCGCTCCGGGCGGGGGCGGGGCCTGCTGCTTGGGAAGGAAGAGCACTTGGTAAGCTCCCTGCATTCCTGGGAGCCCCAGGTATCTGGAGAAGCAATGGGCTCCAGCCCTCCCCGCTTCCATCACCTAGGTGCCGTACGTGGGCGCAAGTGCGCGGCAGGTGCAGAATGTGCTGTGGCTCCTGCGAGGCCGCCCGGGAAAGACCGTGGACCTGGGCTCAGGCGACGGCAGGATCGTAAGGGCTGCGTGTGGGTGGATGGGGAGCTGCCCTTCCTAGTTGCCTCCGCTTGCGAGCGCCGTCCTGGTGACCACACCTGCTCCCTGCCTACAGGTGTTGGCGGCCCACAGGTGCGGCCTGTGCCCAGCTGTGGGCTATGAGCTGAATCCGTGGTTAGTGGGGCTGGCGCGGCTGCACGCGTGGAGAGCAGGCTGTGCGAGCAATGTGCAATACCGCCGTGAGGACCTCTGGAAGGTACCCTGTGTTCTGGGCCCCTGGGACTCCACACCCGATTCCTTGCCACCAGGGTGCCCTAGGGGCAGGCCTGGAAGGCACAGCGACCCCAGTGCCCTCCCCTGGCTAGGGGCCTGTTCCCTTCTCGGGTGACCACCTCTTCCTGCAGGTGAGCCTGAGGGACTGCCACAACGTCTCTGTGTTCCTGGCCCCCAGCGTGGTAGGTCTGGGCTACACCACGGGGGTGCTGGTGTTGTGGGGCCCCAGCTGGTGGCAGGTGCTGGGCCTGGCAGAGCCAGGCAGAGGCTTGTATGCCATGCCCTTCTTCTCTTCACTCTTACAGCTCCCAATGCTGGAGACCAAGCTGCAGGCAGAGCTGCCCAAAGGGGCCCGCGTGGTGTCTGGACGTTTCCCCCTCCCCACCTGGAAGCCGGTGGCTGTGGTGGGTGAGGGTCTGGACCGAGTCTGGGCATATGACATCTGCAGTGATGGGCCCGCCAGGGAGGCTGCCTCCTCTCCAGGGACCCCCACCCAGGCTCCTGTGCACCCTGGGCCACCTTGTTCTCAGGCTGGTTATCAGACGTAATAAAGACTCATTTGTACCCGGACTCTCGTTTACTGGGGAGCTCTGGGGCTGGGAGAAGGCTCTGTTGCTCGCCAGGAAATCTGTGCTGTTTTCCTTGACTCAGCGGCTGCGGGTCCTTGGATGCTGGGGTTTGGCTGGTGGCACGGCCCCCACTTTCGAGGGACCCCCTGTGCCCACCAGCCTTCTCAGCCTCAGGATCTCCTGCTTGTACCTGATCAGAGGGGCCGGGCTAGAGTCCCCTGCCTGGCTGGGGACAGTGGGATCCCCCCTCCCACACACCAACACCCTGAGGTCAGCCCACCTGCCCAGGTGCTGGTCCACGTACTCGCGTAGCTCGGAGAGCTGCGCCTCGGCCACCGTGGCCCGGGCCAGCAGCTGTGCCCGCTCCCGTTCCAGCTCTGCCTGGTGTGCGGAACGAGCAGTGAGTCCGGCACCCGGATGAGGGCCCCCAACCCTTACCTGCTACCTGGGTGCTTCGGGAGAACTCCTGGAGTTTCTGGTGGATCTGAGCCCAGGATGCGGCGTCCAGGTCCCTGTGAGGGAGGAGGGGGCACGAGGGCTGGTGGGCTGTCCCTGCTTGGTCGGGTTCCCTGAGCCTTGTGCTGCCTGGGAGCAAGTGCAGAAAGGGTTGGTCCCCTGATGGCTAGGCAGGGCTAAAATGCAAGGCCAGCTTGAACATGACTATCTGCAGGGGTTCTGATACATCCCCCCTTGCTGTGCTGGGGGCCAGGAGGTTGTCTGCAGAGCCCATACCTGTGCAGCTGGGAGCACAGAGGCCCAGAGGTTCCCCCTGCTGCCTCACGCCTACCCCGGCCACCACCTGTGGCCCTTTAGAGTTTCAGCTGAGATGCCCTTCCTTGCGGGACTCTTGGCAGTGCCTATCTGGGATTGGCTTTCTTCCCTGACGCCCAAAGGAGATCAGCTCCCCCATTAGTGCCTACGTGAGGCCAGCTTCCCTCCCCAGGCCCCAGCACCCCCTCAGGGCACTCACTGTGGCTGTGATGTCCCACCCAGAGAGGCTTCATCAGGTCCTTTCTGTGAGAAGAACAAAGTTTTGGGTTCCTGTGCTGTAAGGTGTGAGGGTTCGTCCCGACTCTGCAGGAGATGTCCTTGGTTGGATGACAAGGGTTGGGCTTGGCAGAACCAGGTGAGGCCCAGACAGTTGTGGGGCTCTGTGCCCCAAGGCTGATGGGCCAGCAGGGAGGGTCCCTGGGGCCTGGAGCTTCCAGAATGCACGTCCAACCTTGCCCTGTCCTCCAAAGGCTGCCAAGCTCCGTCCCAGGTGCCCTGACATCAGCTCAAGATCCCAGGTGGCCATACTGGGGGCACCCTTGGGGCCACGTTGGTGTCCACCAATCCCTGGGGCCGCAGCTGCTGCACGCTATGCCACATCCCAGGTCGTGAGGGGCCACCCGACCTTAGTGTCCCCCCACCTGTTGGGGTGGGTCCCACCGGTGGACAGCCAGCAGCTGCTCATGCTGACGGCTTAGCTCTGTCAGGCGCTTGCGATAGGTGTGTGCCGCCCGGGCCAGCTGCTGCTCGCGGCTGCGGTGCGTGGCCTGGATGTCCTCCAAGGTGGCATCCAGGAATGCCCGCAGGGATGCAGCGGCTGGCGCCTGGCCTGCACCGTCGGCATAGTCCTGGGAGAGATGGAGCTAGGCTGCTGCTGGCGGCTGTAGGGCCCGACACTGTGCAGCCTGCCAGGGCCAGGCCAGGCTTCCTGGGGCCAGAGGCTGGCATGCGACAGCTCACCGCTATGTCCCGGGCGCAGCGCCGCAGGCGGACGGCATAGTCCTCGTTCAGCCTCTTGAGTTGCATCTGCAGCCGGCTGTTCTCAGCCTCAGCCTCGCGGAGCTGTTCCTGGCAGACGCACAGCACCTGGGGCAGAGGCGGCTCTGAACCTGGGTCCAGCGCGTGGTGTTCGTGGGGCCCTGCTGGCCGGGATCTCGAGGACAGGGGAGGGGCTGGGCTCACCTGGGCTTGTGTGGCCACGTGCCGCCCAGCTGCCCTGACCTCCTCTCTGGCTCCCTGCAGCTGCCGGCCCAGGGCTGCCCTGAAGACATGGGGCAGTGTAAGCAGGCCTGAGTGCAGGGGCTGCTGCTCAGCCCCTTGGCGCCTGCTTGCCCACCCTGTCCTGGGAGACGGTCACTCACACGTGTGTCTCCAATGCCTTCTGCTGGGCCCCCTGCAGCTCCAGTGCCCTCTTCCCTTCTCCCAGCTGCTGTAGGTGCACGCAGGTGGTTGGACTGAGAGCTAAGCTTGCTACCCGCTACACTGCTGTCCCCCAGGGCAGTGAGACACCCGGGAAGCCCCTGGGGCAGGTGACCGCACACTCACAGTGTCCCCCAGCTTCTGTGAACCAGACTCCAGAGACACGAAGTCCTCTGGCTGTGTCTGTACCAAAGGGAGGCGTGAGAGGTGGGTGGTTCCCAGCTTCACTGTCCCCACCACACCCTGCCAGGCTCCCATCCATCCAGGCCCTGCCTGTCCTTGTAGCACCCGGAGTCTGTGGTCTTTGGAGCGGCCCTGTGCCGGCGCCTGGCGCTGCCTGCGACCGGCCTGCTCCCCATGAAGCTCCAGCTCCAGCACCCGGCCTTCCAGCCGAAGCACCTGCAGGGCGACCAGGTGCAGAGCAGGCCGCTGAAGCCAGCAGACACCCACCAGGGCATGAGAGTGCCTGCAGCAGCGCACGCTCAGGCTGGGACGCTCCCGAGCTCCTCCTCAGGCGCCCCCACCCTGCCCTCGGGCCGGCACACCTGAGCAGGTGCCCACCTCACTCTGCAGCTGAAAGACCTCGGCTTCATGCTGCTCCCGCAGGCGGTGGGTGGTGAGCTGCAGGTCCACCAGCTCCTTGGAGATCTGGGGGTGGCCACTGGGGTGAGAGAGGGTCCCCTGCGACCTAGGGGACACCTCCCTCCAGCCGGCACCCAGGGCCCCACTCCCACCTGCAGCCGCTGCTCCTCACTCAGCTCCAGGCCAGTGGCCCAGGCTGGGGCGTCACGTGGGGCCCCTGCCTGCGGGTCCTCAGCCTGACGCAGAACCTGGAGAAGCACCGCCCCCCCTCCAGGTGGGTCCAGGCTGAAGCCCCACCCCCATGGAGCCCCCAGCCTCCATCCACCCGGGGCGCGGCTGAGGCAGCCTCTCCCTGACCAGGATCAGTCGAGGGATCAGGGCCAGGGTGCCGGCATCCTGCTGACTTACATTCTCAGCAGCCCAAGGTGACCTTGGCCTGGGCCCTGGGGCTGCCCTCTGCTCCATGGGTAGAACTTGGGTGAGCCCAGCCCGCTCCGTGGCCGTTGCTTCCATGCGGTGGCTGGTGTTATCAGGACTCTGCGTCCTAGGAGACCCAGGGCTCCGCCCACTAGGTCAGTGGCTAGGGGAGGACAGTCCATCTCTCCTTCAGCCTGCAACCTGGCCTTTCTGGGCCTCCGTTTCCCATCCGTACAACCCGCTCCCCCTGGGACTGCTGGGGCGCCTGGGGTGTGCCTAGCCTGGGGGAGGGTGGATGGCCACGGAATTCCAAGGCTGCCTGTTGCGCTGCTTTGCACATTCATTGGGCGCCTTCTGTGTGCCTCCTGGTGCTGGCTGAGTGCGGGAACAAGTTGGATAGCTAATCCTCTCCCATCGCCGATCTGGAGAAAGGGGGCACAACGCCCCAACAGACACCCGGTCACGGGGCTACGAGGCCCCGGCTCAGTGTGGGCTCCAGGAGGGCTTCCCGGAAGAGGCGTCTAGTCCCGGGTGCTGCAGCTGCGGAGCGCGCAGGGCAGACACGCACGCCCTCCTGCGACCCCTCGAGGCGCAGGTTCCGGGCCGGGCAGCCGAGCGGGGCCCGTGGGCAGCGGGCGTGCCGAGCGCCGCGCCCCGCTTACACCCCTCAGGCGGCCCGCACAGCCCCAAAAGGCTCAGCCTGTCAGGTAAGGGGCGGTCCGGGGCGGGATCGCGCAGCCGCCGAGTGGAAGGGGCCTGGGGCAGGGCCTGGGCGCGAAGGCGTGGTCTGCATGGGCGCGTCAGAGTGGGCGGGACTTGGGAGATCGTACTGACCGGCGTGGGGGCGTGACTCACTGGGGAAGGCGGGCCCTGCAGTGCAGGGGCGGAGTCTGAGGTGGTCGGGCGTGGTGAATAGGCGGGGCCTTTCGGAGGTGCTGAGGGGCGCGCTCCCTGCACCTGCCGGCCTGCTCGCCCCCCGTGGCGTGGAAGTCCACGTGGCACATCCGGGAACCTCTTCCGGCCCCAGTGTGTGGGTGTGTGGGCTGACTCCGGCCCCTGGACAGCCCCACTTAGGGTCTGGAGAGGGGTGGTCCCACCCTGAAGAGGGGGCTCAGACGGTTGGGGGCCTTCTTTGGGGTCACAGGCAAGTGACCGTGGGTGGCCCCTGGGCGCTCTGCTGCTGCGCCCATGGTCTGGGTGCCCTCCCTCCCAGCCTTTACCCCTTGTTGGGAAGTGCCCCCCCAACACACACCCTGGTTTCCAAGTCCTGGCTCCCCATGACACTGTTTCTCAACATGAAGGTGATGGTTATCTTGGTGCTGGGGGACAAGTCCATGGTCGGTGAGGAGCTCTCCCGGGAGGACGTGGCTAAGAGGATTAGGGCAGGCCGTGGCGGGTGGGAGCACATCGAAGTCCAGGCTGCCTGGGGCCTGCAGGATAGGGGGCCCCCAGCCTCCCTGTCTGGAGCAGACCCTCCCCCATTCTCTGCTCATTAGTTGGCCTTTGGGATTATTCATCATGGGTTTCCACTAAGAAGCGGGGCTGCCTCTGGCCTCCTCTTGGCCTTTTTAATTTTTTCCCCGTGTCCTTTCCCATGCATTCCCACCCCGAGCTGTCTCCCTGTACACATACTGCCCTGTTCTCCCACAACTGATGGTTCTAAGGAGTGCATCTACCTGATAGAAATGTTCACCCCATATGCCTGTGTTGTTTGGCTGGAAGCCATGGGAGTGAGTTCAGTTCACTCTTGGCTTTTCTCCTATCCCTGATCCTGTGCACAGTGGGGAATCAAGACTTCTCTGCCAGCCCCCCCACCCCACCCCACCCAGGTACTGCCCGGGGCCAGGCCCGCCTGGGGTGCTGTATGCGTCAGACCTGGTGCCTTGAGATGGGTTTCAGCCCCATACTGGTGGTCTGCAGCTCCATAGATCCTATTCCTTTCTGCCGTGGGAGCTCGTGGACTGGGAGGTGGTGCTGCTGACCACCCAGCACCGCTGGGGAGCGTGGACGGGCCAAACCCGAGGGTGCTGTGTGCAGCCCAGCCCTGCCCCACGTGACCCACTCTCGCCCACCCGCAGGAACCGTATCGTATGTAGGGTGATACTGAGCTGGCGTGAATGCAGCCTGGGCTAGCTGTGCTGGGCATCTGTGCTGACCTGCAGAGTGGTGCCTGGGACAAGACCGCAGGGGAGTCGAACCTGGGCGGCAGTCTGGGCCACCCCTTCACATGTTTTCTGTTCAAGGCCATCCACGTGTGCTGCCTCCTGACTCTAGCCCCTGTCTTTTGCTCCATGAGCCACTTCTTTTGGGAGGAAGTGGGTCCAGACCTGCCCCTCACCTCAGCCCCCAGGGGTGTGGTATCAGTGGCTGGCTCCAGCGTGCACCTGGAGGGGACTGCCACTCAGAAAATATACCAGAGCCTGGGCACCCTGCTCCCTAGACGGCGAGAGGCCTGTGCCCTCAAGACTCTGAAGATCTCTCCCAGGCCCCAACCAAGGCTCTGCCCCACCCCTGCTACCCCTTCCTGAGGACCCAGTCCCCCCAGGGCCCTGTGTAGGGAGTGGGTCTCTTGGACAGGGCTCCACAGAAGCCTGAGGGGCTGTAGCCATGGGCTAGGCTCTCCTGACACGTCACAGAAGGGAGCCCAGGTCCAGGCTGGGGGTGCACCACAGCTCTCCTCCCCGTACTGGTGCTTGGCCGACGGCCACATGAGACACCAGAGCCCTGCTGCCCAGCTCACGCCCAGCAGGCTGCTTGTCCTGTGTCCATGTGAACTCCGCCGGCCAGAGAGACTGGCAATGTCTGCTGTATGTGAGAATGTCTGGGTCCACGGGACACCGTGATCTGCAGGTCCCCAGCTGTGCTGGGCTCCTGAGCCCTGAATGAAGCTTTGAAGTCTCTTCACTCTAGCAGACACTCTGGGGAGAGGGGCCACGTCACAGAAAAGCTTCAGGACACGGGTCCCTTTATTGAAAGGGAGCCACAGGCAAGACTGGCCCAGTGGGAGGCCCCTGAACCCCCTGGAGACGGCAGAGGGGCCCCCGGCCCGCCCGGAGACCGCAGAAGGGCTGCTATGCTGTGCCACCAGCTCCCCGCACCCTGCTGTGCACGAGAACCTGGGCCCGCTGCCTTGGTGTGTGTGGCCCCGCTCGTCCTCCAGGCCAGTGGACTGGTCCCCCAATGCTGAGTGTGGCTTGAGGTAGGTGCCTCTGCCTTCATGGGGTGTTCCCTGGACATGATCTCCAAACCGCAGCTTCTGGGAGCAACTCTAGAAATGATCACCTGCTCCCTCGAGGGAGAGAGGAGGCCCAGTGACAGGGCAGCGGTCACCCCTCACGAAGCTTCTGGAGCCTCCGCTGGGCACAGGGTCAGCTGCAGTGGGCCCCCAGGGCGCTGGGCATCGCTGTGGGCCGGAGGTGAAGCTTGCCGGTGGCAGGTTCCGACAAACACATGGCCCCACTGCTCCAGGGCCGAGCCCAGGGAGCCCATGTGTGCTCTTACAGGCCCTGCCGCTGGGCTGTGCGGCTGTGGACCTACCACTTGATGCTGAAGCCAGAGCTGGCTCTCTCCACAGCGTGGTACTGTGTGTGTAGCATGCGGCCCGCCTTGTCTGAGCCCTCGCCCTGCAGCCAGCGCTCATACAGCTCGTGGACCCCGGGCGCGTCCTCGGGCGCCTGGGTCCTGACCTCCCTGTACAGCTGTTCCACCTGCTGCAGTAGCTCCTTGGCGTGCGTGTCCGGGGCCCTGAGCTGTCCCCCGCCATTCAGGCAGCCTGTGGGCAGGCGTGGTGGTGGGGTGGTGCATGGGGACCAGGACCCTCCCACCCGGCTCTCCTGCCCCGCTGGGCCATGTGCTACCTGAAGGGCAGGCCATGACCTCCACGTAGTGGTACGGGCAGCGCCCACGCCTGAGCTTCTGCACGAGGTTCTGGATGTTACGGAAGCCGTAGGCAGCTACGAAGTGAAGGAGGACCTGGCCGTCCCGCTCCAGGGTCACCTCCTGGAAGTCCTTGTTCCTGCCGGCACACAGCCAGTCAGCAGCCCCTGAGCCCGACTGCACACCTACCACCTCACCCCGCCTCAGCTTCCCCGTGTGAAATGGGTGCCCGCACACGGCCTCTATGATGGGGAGTCTGAGCCCCAGGGTTGCAGGGGGGCCCAGCAGGTACCCAGTGCCCAGGGTCCAGCTTAGACTCAACACCCGCCTGCAGCAAGCCCGGCTCAACTCAGGGCCCAAGGCCAAGGCTGCCGCGAAGCAGCCCCCACGCCCGGCTCTGGCTGCCCCACTGACCTCAGGGGCTTATAGGTGAGCTCCGCCACATGGATCCCGAACAGCTCGTGGGCAGCGTGCCGGAACACGTGTTCCAGGTAGCCCCCGGAGCCCCCACCCCGATGGCTGGTGGGCTCCGCGGTGGAAACGCAGCTGCACCTGGCATGGGAGGGTGATCAGTGTGGCCGCAGGGTACAGGCTCAGCGTGGCACAGGGACACCCGCGCTTGACCAGGGCGACACCGTCGGGGCATCCTGTCCTCCCAGGTCTGGGGAAGGAGCCTCCACACAAGTGGCTGGGGCTGCGGGGAGCTGAGTAGGGTCTGGGGCGGCTGGGGGAGGGCTGCCTGCAGAACGTGGGTGCTTCCTCAGGACTAAAGACCCCTTCTCAAGACCTGGGCTACTTAGTTCCTTGGGGAGCCGCCCATGCTGGGGAGCCAGGGCTGGTCATGACCAGTGAGAGGGTCCAGGGAGGGCTGGCATGGCCTCACCCCTTGGAGGGATGTCAGAGAAGGAAGAGGCCCCTGGGTGCCCGCCCCCTGCATCCCAGACAAATTCCAAATAGGGTGGTGGCTGCAGGCCAGTGGTCTCTACCCGCACATCAAGGGGGGAGTCTAAGGTGAGGTCAGGAGTGAGATGTCTGTGAGCTGGGCCCTGGTCTCTCACGCTAAGGGGGCCCCTCAGCACAGGGTCCAGCTGAGTGGGACCTGAAGCAGGTCGTGGATGAGGGACCCACCCCAGGCCCACAGACAAGGTCTGAAACCATGATACACCCTCTCAGGGCCCCAGTGCCCGCGCCCAGGCACTCACAGCACATCCAACGGGGTGGGCTCCAGGTCTGGCAATGAGACCCCCTCCTCCTCTAAAAGCTTGAACACCTCCCCTACGAGAAAGCAGATGCCCCACTGTGCTCTCAGCAGACGTGCCCAGCGCCCACACCCTGGTGCTCCCACCCTGGGCTGGGGGGCATGAACAGTCCCGGCCAGGTGGCAGGAACCGGTGCTCCGGGACGTGCAGCCCACCCCTCGGGCGTCTCTGTGGGAGGGGTAGGGGCATGTCTGGGTCTGTCTGGCCACCCCAGGCTGTTCGCTTTTCTGTTCTTTAAGTTCTGTAGGGGTGGGGGACGTGAGGCCAGTCACATGTGGGGATCTACACGCTCACATAGGAGCCCTGGCAGTGGCACAATGGTTCAGCACTCAGCTGTTAACCAAAAGGGTGGCAGTGTGAACCTGCTCAGTGGCTCCATGGGAGAGACCTGGGCACCTGCCTCCATGAAGATTGATGGCTTTGGAGACCCTGTGAGCAGTTCCACTCTGTCCTCTAGGGGCGCTGTGGGTCAGAATGGACTCCACAGCAGTGGGTTTGGTTTGGGCTTTGCTTCTGTGAAAACTGACAGCCTTGGAGACCCTGTGGGCAGTTCCACTCTGTCCTCTAGGGGCGCTGTGGGTCAGAATGGACT